AGGGTTGCGCGAAGCGTCTCAAGACAAGTTTCGAAAAAGGCGTGCGCGCCAAAAACGGGGGCGACCCCGTTTTTATCATTGACGGCGATCCACGTTTGTGGGAAGCCATCGGGCGCGTGCAGTGCACTACACCGTCCGTGGCGACGAGGGCCAACGGGGGACGACCCGACGCCAGCGAGACAAGCCGAATCCAGCCGCGACGACGACGGCCGCCAGGGCGACCCGGCACCAGCAATCCGAGCCGAATCCGGCCACACAGCTGGGCAACTAGTAAAAGCAATGGGAGGCCAGGAGCAGCGCTGGTCAGTGGACGCGTCGCTGCCATGGCACGGCGAGCATGGGCAGCAGGGCGGCCAGTGGGCAATCCTGCGCTCCGAACGGCCGCGGGCCGTTACGACAAACTCGGGCCATTAATTTATTGGCATGACCGGGCAGGCTGGCGGCCGAGGGCACGCCGCCACGCTGGCCCCGGGCAGGCTGTGCTGCCCGGCGGAAGGGGACGAGGAGAGCTGGCACGCTAACAAAAATCAATGGCAACCGTTAGGGAAATCAATGGTTTTCACCTCTCACCCTCTGTGCTTGGCTGCCTTCTGTCCTCGGGGATCGAGGTGGAACATCGCAGCAACGGGACTGGTTTCCTAGCAGCCCAAGACCGCCTCAGGGCCACCGTAAGGCCGGTGAGTACCGCACTCAGGGTCGCCGAAGGCCGCCTTCTTACGGGCCGCCTTCGGGACTGCTGAAGGTCGCCCAGCGGCTTCACCGTTGCCACCCAGCCAGAGAGCAGCACGGCGCCAGCACACACGGGCACACGCAACCAGACGCGGAAAGTTGACGGGTGCCATCGCTGCTCCGCGGCTGCGGTCCCACCACGGTCGACACGGGCACGCGGCAGCGTGCCTGTGCGCACTGGCGCGCGGCCCCGGTACTACGGGCCTTCTGCATGCTGACGGGCTGCTCTTCCGAACAACAACGCGCGGACAGACGCGGAAGGTTGACGGGTGTCATCGCTGCGGTCCCACGACGGTCAACACGAGCATGCGGCAGCGTGCCTATGCGCACTGGCGCGCGGCCCCGGTACTACGGGCCTTCTGCATGCTGACGGGCTGCTCTTCCGAACGACAACGCGCGGACAGACGTGGAAGGTTGAAGGGTGCCATCACAGTTCCGCGGTTGCGGTCCCACCACGGTAGACACGGGCACGCGGCAGCGTGCCTGTGCGCACTGGCGCGCGGCCCCGGTACTACGGGCCTTCTGCATGCTGACGGGCTGCTCTTCCGAACAACAACGCGCGGACAGACGCGGAAGCAGCTCCGCCGCTGCGGTCCCACCACGGTCGACACGGGCACGCGGCAGCGTGCCTGTGCGCACTGGCGCGCGGCCCCGGTACTACGGGCCTTCTGCATGCTGACGGGCTGCTCTTCCGAACAACAACGCGCAGACAGACGCGGAAGGGTGACGGATGCCATCGCAGCTCCGCGGTTGCGGTCCCACCACGGTAGACACGGGCACGCGGCAGCGTGCCTGTGCGCACTGGCGCGCGACCCCGGTACTACGGGCCTTCTGCATGCTGACGGGCTGCTCTTCCGAACAACAACGCGCGGACAGACGCGGAAGGTTGACGGGTGCCATAGCTGCGGTCCCACCACGGTCGACACGGGCACGCGGCAGCGTGCCTGTGCGCACTGGCGCGCGGCCCCGGTACTACGGGCCTTCTGCATGCTGACGGGCTGCTCTTCCGAACAACAACGCGCGGACAGACGCGGAAGGTTGACGGGTGCCATCGCTGCGGTCCCGCCACGGTCGACACGGGCACGCGGCAGCGTGCCTGTGCTCACTGGCGCGCGGCCCCGGTACTACGGGCCTTCTGCATGCTGACGGGCTGCTCTTCCGAACAACAACGCGCGGACAGACGCGGAAGGTTGACGGGTGCCATAGCTGCGGTCCAACCACGGTCGACACGGGCACGCGGCAGCGTGCCTGTGCGCACTGGCGCGCGGCCCCGGTACTGCGGGCCTCTTGCATGCTGACGGGCTGCTCTTCCGAACAACAACGCGCGGACAGACGCGGAAGGGTGACGGGTGCCATCGCTGCGGTCCCACCACGGTCGACACGGGCACGCGGCAGCGTGCCTGTGCTCACTGGCGCGCGGCCCTGGTACTACGGGCCTTCTGCGTGCTGAGGGGCTGCTCTTCCGAACAACAACGCGCGGACCTCTTGGAGTTACTGAGCGGTCTTGGCGCGTCCTGAGCCGTCTGAAAGCGTGTAAAGCGGCTTGGGCGCCATATTGGGCCATCTGGGGCATGTCTTGGCCATATTAGTGGTCTCCTGGCGCCGTTCGGATGTGGAAATTGCGACTTCGCCTACTCCTGGAGCCGATTAACCTCCCTAACTTCCGAAGAGGAGCCCTGGACACCAGGGGACTAAATTGGGCACTCATGGGATTCACATATTTATCCTTGCATGCCGGCAGAGGGGCATGGGGGAAGAGGCAAGAAGGCCAATGACCTTCGAAAACTTATGTAAAGTAAAACACGTGTTGCCCCTCGGAACCCTCTTGGGTTGCCACGTGGAACGCTCCTGTAGTGTCTCGAAGGCGTCGTGGGCCGTCTGGCAGCGCTTCTGGGGGGCTTCCTGGGAGGCCTTTTGGAGGCCTGTTTGGCCTCCTGGGGGTCCCAGTGCGCGGAGATGTCTAAATCTTAGTTCAGGCTCACCCTCTGGAGCCGATCTTGGGCGGCTCCTGAAGTGTCCTCGGACCGTCTTGGAGGTCTCTTGGGCCGTTTTGGGGACCCCTTGGGCCATCTGGGCACCCACTTGGGAGCCTCTCAGGCCGTCTCGGAGCGTTTCTCGGGGCCTCTGAGGTAGTTTTGGATCGCTGGGTAGCAGAAAGTGTACACTAAAAGATGGACAATCAATGATTGTTGTCTCTTGGAAGCTCTTGCGGAGCGTCTTGGGGGCATTTTGGGGCCACCCCGAGGCCATCAAGGGCGCCTGGGAGCATTTGTTCGGCAACTCGGGGCCCCCAGAGGCCGTCTGGGGCGTAAGCGTGAATCGCCCGAACCTCGATTCGCCCAGCTCGATTCGCCCGGCTCGTTTCGCCAGAGTCTCGATTCGCCAGGCTCGATTCGACCGGCTCGGCTCGATTCGCCCGGCTAGATTCGCCAGAGTCTCGATTCGCATGGCTTGATTCGCCTGGCTCGATTCGACCGAGGCTCGATTCACCCGGCTTGACTCGCCCAACTCGATTCGTCCCAGCTCGAATCGCCACGCTCGCTTCGCCCGAGTCTCGGTTCGCCCAGCTCGATTCGCCTGGGCTCGATTCGCCCAGCTCGATTCGCCCGGGGCTCCATTCGCCCGAATCTCGATTCGCTCGGGGCTCCGGCTTGGTTCGCCTGGGGCTCGAATCGCCCGGCTCGATTCGCCCAGCTCCGCCCGCCCGACCCGACCCGCCCGCTAGGGTCCGCCCGCCCGCCCGACCCGACCCGCCCGTTAGGGTCCGCCCACCCGACCCGACCCGCCCGTTGGGGTTCGCGTGTGCTGCCTCGATGGTGCGTCCTACTTGAATGTCCTCGCCCGCCCGATCCGACCCGCCCGTTAGGGTCCGCAAGGCGGGACCACGTGAAACACAGAAACGCGGGGCGGAGCACGATATAAAGCACCCGATTAGGGGGGGGGTCAGGCTCCAAAGCGGGGCCCAGCTTAGGCTCTGCCCCCCCCCTCCGCTCCACCTCCGAGGGCCAGGAACGTTTCTTTCGCATGTCGCGACGGCGGCCCTGGCGACACGCTACGGCCCACGCGAGTGGATAGCGTGTCGCTGCGATCCGCGGGGCGGGTTGCTTCGGAAAGCTGGGGACGCTGACGCGCGGGAGCTGGGACGTGGATAGCACAGACATGCGACGTCCTGATTTCGTCAGTACGCGGCCCCCGAAGTCCCGACCCTTTCCCCGGGGACGGCTCTTCATCCGGAGACGTTCCTTGACGGAAGAGCAGGAAGAGGAGGAGGAGGAGGAGGAGGAGGAGGAGGAGGAAGAAGAGGAAAAGGAGGAGAAGGAGGCGGAAAAGGAAGGAGGAGGAGGAGGAGGAGGTGGTGGGAGAGGAGGAGGAGGAGCAGGAGGAGGAGGAAGATGAGGAGGAGGAGGAGGAGCAGGAGGAGGAGGAGGAAAAGGAAGGGTTGGAAGAGGGGGATCGGCCCGTCCAGGGAGCGTGGTCGTGGCGGCACGACACGCCGCGATTCGAGGACCGACCAAGTCATGTGGCTGGGGGGGGCTCGCCTGTCTCTGCGGGCCTGGAGGGGCCTGATGGTAGCTTCTCGGTAGCCATTGTGAGACCGTTGTGGGACCTCCTCGGGGCTGTTGCCTCTCGGGGGCCTCCTGGGGCCTCTTGGGGGCTCCTTGGGGCCTCCTGGGGCACTCTTCAAGCGGGAGGGTCGAATTTTGGAGTCGTGGCTCCCCTCTTGGGCGCATCTTGAGGCCGTCTTGGGGCTCTCTTGGGCGCCTCTGGGGTGGGGGCCCTGTTGGGCCGTCTTGGGGCGCTCTTGGGGGCCTATGGAGCGGGCCTGAAACGTCGGACAACCGAGAAGGCTAGAAGGCCCAAATCTCTCCAAAACCTTCGTAAAATTGACGATGCCGGCCTCTTGAAGCGCTCGGGAGAGGCGTCTTGAAGCGTCGTGGAGTGACATGGGGGGGCCTCTCGGGCCGTCTTGGGCCTATCTTGGCCGTCCAGGATTGGTCTCTCGGCGACTCGGGGCCCGCTTGGGCCGTCTGGGGAGCCTCTGGAGGCCCTCCTGGACTATTTTGGACCTCCCCGGCCGCCCCGTCCTCCCATGGGGGGTCGGGGCAGCTGTTTGTGGGCCATATATATATATATACATATATATATATATATATATAGATATATATATTTGTGCATGTATATTGATACATATATATATATATATAAATATGCATGCATACAAACATGTGTGTGTATATATATATATATATATTATATATATATATATGTATGTGTGTGTACGTGCGAGGTCAGCATAGCCAAGGCCATGGATGGACGAGGAGGGGAAGGAGCAGCAAAGAGAGAACGAGGAGGTGGAGGAGGAACAAAAATAACAACACCGCTGTATCGTCTCCAAGCGCCGGCTCGACGCCCAAGCCGCCGCCCTGGCCGCCAGAGTCTTCCAGCAGTGGGGCGCGGGCAGGGCGATTGGTCTCCTCTGGCAAGGCCCTCACAACGCCCTCGCTTTTCCATTCGTTTCTTGCCGCCCTGCCTCCCTCCTGTCTCCTCGCGCACCTCCGTTCATCCCCGTCTTCTCTAACACCCCCGTCCCGATCCTGGTTCTTACATGTCCCTCTCTTCCACTCGTCTTGGGACGTGCCCCCTGCGCTTTAAACTCGTCTCTTCTGCGCCTCATACGGGCTCATCCTCATTCCCAGTCTCCCGCTACTGCCATTCTTCCTCGTTCTCTCGCTGCTGCCCGCCGCTGCTATCTCCTCCCATAGCTTCCCCCATGCTCGTCTTGTCGAACGTTCGCATCCTACTCAGACACCACCCTCCATAAAAAAAACGACCTGGGCAACTGTGTCCCTCCCGTGCGCCTCCCGTGAACCTCTTGTGCGTACCTGTCTCGCTTCTGCTGCGCTTCGGGCTGCCAGCACTGGTGCGAGGAATCTCGCTCCGAGCGTGTCGGCTCGCGGCTGGTGCGGATGGGGTTGCCGGCGATGTCGGCAGGAAGTTCACCCCGAGCTCGTCGCGCACCAAAACCAATCTGGCAACGACCAGACCAGTTCCTGACAAGCCAAGCACCAACAGGGCGAGCCAGGCCTGGCAACGCTCGGCCATAGTAGCAAGGTAGCTTTTCGGGGCCAGGGGCGCACCCAACCATACCAGTGGCAGAGGCGATTCCGAACTCAACAGGGCAGCGACAACGCAATCGAGAAATCACATCTCAACAATGGGCCAGGGAAGCAAGGATCAAATGGCGCACAATGTAGAAAAAGTCAGTGGGCGAGTGGCGCATCACAACTAAGATAGCAATGGTGAAGCCAATTCTCAAACGGCCATCAGTGGCCAGCTAGGGCGAATGCCAGACCAAAGCTGACCTCGGGAAACAATGATCGACCCCCTCTCTTTCCGGCGATAAGTATGCACCTCTGGCGCTGGAGATGATATCCGCCCCCCAACGGAAATATGACTCTTGCATCAGCGCCGCGCACATTCGTTAAACAAGTTTGCAACAGTTTCACGGACGGGGGGCAGAATATTTTTTCATCATGTGGCGCTCGCGCATAGCGTCACGCACATTCCCCTTCGAAGTTCGCCAGAGTTCGACGGAGGAAGGGCGGGCCCTTTTCAGAATCTGGTTCTGACCTTAGCGCCGCGCGCATTCCTTTTCAACGTTTGCAAGAGCTTCACGGATGGAGGACGGGTCCTTTTCAAAATGTGGTTTTCGCCTCCTCGCCGTGCACATTCGTCCTCACAGTTTGCAAGAGCTTCACGCATGGAGGACGGGTCCTTTTCAAAGTGAGGTTCTCGCCTTAACGCCACGAGATTTCGTTCCAAAAACTTGCAACAGCTTCACGAACAGAGGGCCGGTCCTTTGCAGAATGTTGCTCTGGCCTTAGCGCCGCGCACATTCTTTTTTAGAAATTTGTGGGAGTTCATGAATGGAGGGCGGGTCTCTTTTGAAATGTGAAAATCGCTCTAGCGTCGCGCGCATACGTTCAACAGTTGGCCAAAGCTTCACGGATGGAGGGCCAATCCTGTGCAAAATGTGGTTCTCGCCTTAGCGCCGCGCACATTCGTTTTACATGCTTGCAAGCGCCTCACGAATGGAAGGCGAGTCCTCTTCTAAACGTGGTCCTCGCCCCAACGCAGCGCACAGTCGCTTTAAACTTGTACAGAAGCTTCACAGATGGAGGGCTGGCCCTTTTCAAACGTATGATCGGCATCATCGTCATCATCGTCATAATCCTAACCTGCACTCATCATCATCATCATCATCATCATCATCATCATCATCATCATCATCATCATCATCATGGGCATCATCATCGTTCTCATGAACACCAGCAGCATCATCAGCATGATCACCTTCATCCGCAGCGGCAAGGTCATCAGCAACATCATCACCGTCATCATCATCATCAGCATCATCATGAGCACCATTATCATCATGGTTATCATCATCGTCATCATCGTAATCGGCATCAGCAACGTCATCATGAATGTCATCAGCATCAGCATCAGCAATGTGAGCATTACAATCATTATCGTCAGCGTCACCGTCATCACCAGCAGCATCATCATTATCATCATCATGAAGTTCAGCAGGACGATAATCAAGAGCATCACCATCATCATCAGCAGCATCCTCATCGGCATCTTCAGCATCCTCCGCATCATCATCAGCATGATCATCAGCATTGTCATCAGAATCACCACCATCATCATCATCATCGTCATAATCGGCAGCACCATCATCATCAGCATCATCAGCATCAGCCCTATAATCATCAGCATCATCATCGTAATCGTCATAGTCATCATCATCGCCTGCTTCCTCACCATCATCATCATCAGCACCATCAACATGCATATCATCAGGATCATCACCATCAACCTCAACGGCATCATCATCATCATCATAAACGTCCCCATCATCGCAAGCAACCGCATCATCATGATCACCAGCTTCAGCAGCAGCAACATCACCATCAACAGCATCAACCTCAGCATCATCAGTATCAACTGCCTTAGCTTCATCATCATGATCAGCATCAACATCGTCAGCAGCACCGTCATCGTCATCATCATCATCAACATCGTCATCATCAGCAGCACCGTCATCAGCAGCAGCGTGGACATCATGTTCAACACCAGCAGCAGCAGATTCGTCGTCATGGTCACCATCATCACCAGCCACCTTATCATCATGATCGTCATCATGGGCACCAGCAACAACATCAGCAGGTGCAGCATCATGGTCATCAGCACCAGTACCATCATCTTCACCAGCATCAGCATAGTCATCATCACCAGCATCATCTGAATCGTCATCATCATCATCAGCAGCAGCATCATCATCAACAGCAGCATCGTCACCATCGTCACCAGCAGCATCATCATGAACATCATCAGCATCATCCTCAGAACCATGATCGCACCATCATCACCAGCAGCAGCACCAGCATGACCATCATCACCAGCAGCAGAAACATCGTCATCATCATCATCATCATAATCAGCATCAGCATCAGTATCATCGGCATCAGCATCAGAATCATCGTCAGCATCGTCCTCGCCATTATCATCACCACCATCATCGTCATCAACATGCTCATCCGCATGAGCATCAGCAGCGTCATCTTCAGCTTCATCATCCTCATCACCATCAGCATCGTCATCATCATCATCATCATCATCATCATCATCATCATACTCGTCGCTTTATCGCCATCGCCAGCAACATCACCATCATCATGGTCATCATCATCATCGTCATCATCAACGACAACATCATTATCATCAGCAGCGTCACCACCATCAGCATCAACATGACCATCACTGCCACGTCATCATCATCACCATCATCGTCAGCACAAGCATCATCTTCATCATCATCAGCCATCATGAAAGTCATGATCATCACCATCATCGTCAGCACCGGCATCGTCTTAATCATCATCATCATCAGCAGCAACAGCAGCAGACACATCACCATCATCACCAACATCACCCATTATCATTATCACCAACAACATCAACATCATCATCACCACCACCACCATCATGAACATCATCAACAAAAGCATCAACAGCAGCAACCTCATCCGTGCCCTCCTCTCGTCCCCGCGCCTCCCCTCGTACCAGAGCCAAAAGCACACCACTCCTGTGGCTGAAACCACAAATCCGACCTCTCATATTCGCGGTTTCCCTCGGATCCGACGGCGCGCCCAGCACTGCAGAGCCGCCGCTGCCGCTGGCCGCTGGAACGGCAGGGGCGCGCGTCACGCGGACGGCCAGCACGGACAGCAGCGCGACACCCACCACCCTGCCAAAGAACAGCGCCGCGGCCACGACGCGCGCGGTACCTCCGGGTAGACCACGCACCAGGGACGATGGGAGTCCTCCCTCTCTCCCTCCCTCCTCCTCCCTCCCTCTCGCCTCCTTCTCTTGCTCATGGTTTTGTTCCTGCTTCTGGATCCTCCTGCTCTCTCCTTCGCCCCCTCCTCCTCCTTCTCGTGCTCATCCTTTCTCCATAGATTCATTCTCATCGTTCTGGTCCTGCCCCTCCTCCTCATCCGCCTCATCGCCATCATCCTCATCACTCTCATCCACTTCAAAATGTTCCCTAACTCCTCCCTCCTCTCCATCATGCACCCCCCTGCCACCTAATCCACTTATTATTATTATTATTATTATTATTATTACTAGTATTATTATTATCATTATTATTATTAGTATTAGTATTATTATTATTATTCCTTCTCCTCCTCTTCCTCCTCTTCCTCCTCCTCCTCCCCCTCCCCCTCCCCCGACCCTTTCCTTTGCGATCTCGTCGCGCCGAAACGAAGGGGGATGGACGATCTCGGTCGCATTATCTGTCCCCCATCGCCGAGCCCAGTGGCAGTGCCGCCGGACAGCAACACGTAGAGTGCCGCGATGAGGTCCACAGCGAAGGCAAGCGTGAGAGCAAAGGCCCTCGCTCGGCCCATGGCTACGCGTCGCGGCACGGCACGCTTCGCCGAGGCCTGCGAAGCAAGGCGAGGGGACGGAAAAACGAGCCGAAGGCTGAGACCCGCCAGGCTGGCAGCACGCGAGGAGGAGGGCTCTGTGGGGGGGGTGGGGGGGCGAGGCTGAAGGGGTTCTCAAACGTTCTGGAGACAGGAGAGAGTAGATGGGAGGAGGCAGGAGGCAGGAAGCGGAAGGGGATAAGGGAGGAAGTGGACGAGGACGACGACGACCTGGAGGAGTTGGATGGCGAGGAAGAGGAGTAATTGTGACCAAAGGGGGTCAGCCCGTGACGGCCCGCACCCGCATCGGCAAGGCTACAAACGACATCACCATGCTCTACCGTACCATGCACCTCCTCATCTACGATCCCCCCTGGGTCATCATCCGGAGCTTCGCGCAACACCCTCCTCCTCCGCCTCCTTCTCCAGAACAGGGTCCTGTTTTTTGCGCACTTGGGGGTTCCTGGGGTCCTCTCCGGGCCCCGGGAGCGCCAAACAACGACTCGGGATGAAAGCCTCGGCCTAGGGAACGCCCCCGTGACCAGGACCCGCTTCCAGCAAGACCCATCTCCCTCATTCCAGCAGCTCGTCCTCCAAATCGAGCATCACTCTTTCCTTCGGGGGGGGTCCTTATACGGCTCGTGGGCGGCCTCCTGGAGCGCCGCGCGGAGAGCCCGCCAGTCCAGTGAGTCCTGCCGGCCGCCAGCGCCAAGGGCGACGCGAGGAGAGGTAAGGAGCATGGGGGTGGGGAAGTGGCGTTCCCCCCTACTGTCTTCCTTCTCCCCAGCTCATTCTTCCCCCTTCTCCGTCTTCTTTCCCATCCTCAACCTCCACGTCAACCTCCTCCTCCTCCTCGTTCTCCTCGTCCTCCTCGTTCTCCTCCTCTTCCTCCTCCTCCTCCTCCCCCTCCTCCCTGTCGTTTTACCCCTCCGGGAGGGCAGGGCACGGCGAACGCAAAGTGTCCGCGCTTGAAACATTCTCGGCTTCGGCGCTTTTCGCAGAGGCGAGAGCGGGCAACAGGATGATGTGGGGCCACTCTGGGGCGCCAGATCTAGTCGAAACCAGCGTGTCCCCCCGAAACGCCGACCGTAAAACCTCAATCTGATTTGAACCCATAAGAATCCAACCAGCCCTCCGAGCGTGAGTGGTTCAGCGGTTTTCCTCCTCCATCTCCCCTCTTCCCCTTCGGGGCAGGGTTTATCACTGTTCCCCATGGCTATTCACACCCCTCCCCCAGGCGACAAGCGGCCAACCAGGAACCATGAGGGCCCCCCCCAACCATCCCTGTCAACAAAACAATACGAAACATACTCTGTCTCCACATTTGGAGCATGGGCCAACCCGATGCACCCCCCCCACCCCACCATCCATGTCAAAAAACAATTCAAGGCACACTTTGGGGCAAAGTCTTGAGTCATGTTCGTGAGGACGGCGAGCACTTTGTAGTGTTTTAGAAAGGAACGGCGGTGGTGTGAGCATATTGCCTGCTGCCCGCAAGGCTACCGTCCCCAACAAACAAACAAAACAACATGTACCTCGCAGCTAAATCTAGATCATGCGAGGACATCCCGAGATTCACTGTCAAGTGATTTGTCACAGGGACGGCGGGGATGGTGGCGCGTGGCCTAATGTGCGCATGCCCAACAGACACAATGATGGGCATCGGTTTTCGACAAAGATGGTGGGGGCCGACATGTTTCCCGATGTGTGCTGTCACGTGCGCAGGCGCACCTGACACACTCTGCACGTGCCCCAGACGTGACGCACCTGGCGCGGCTGGAGTGTGCGGCACACCTAGCGCACGCGGACCACGTGGCGCATCTGGCGCACCAGGCGTACCTGGCACGCACGGGCCCCAGGGGTGCCTGGCGCGCGTGGCGCGCCTGGCACGCGTCGCGCACCTCGCCCCAGCGTCGCGCACATTTGGTCGGTTTTGGTTCCCGGTAGCTTTCCATCCAAGGCCGACCGCTGAACATGCTGAAGTTCGGGTGTGACTTATGTGCTGGGAGGGCGGGTGGGAGTGAGCTGGACGGCTGGCTATCTGGGGGGTGTCTTGATTACTGTTCCTGATTAGTATACACCCCCTCCCTCAGGCGACCGGGGACCAAGCCGAAACTATGCTGACACCATGCTGACCCGCCCCCCACCATCCCTGTCAAAAGAATATTAACCGCATGTCAAACAATACAAACCGCAATATGCCTCCAAATTTGGAGCATGCGCTGCCAACCCGATGCGCCCCCCCCCCTACCACTCCTGTCAAACAACAATGCACAGTACACTTTGGGGCAAAGTCTTGAGTCATGTTCGTGAGGACGGCGAGCACTTTGTATTGTATTTGACAGGGGCGGCGGGGGTGTCAACATATTCCCTGCTGCGCGCAGGGCTACCATCCCTAACAAAAAAAACAATACAACATGCACCTCCCGGATACATGTGGATCATGTGCGGCCATCCCGCGATCACTGGCAAGTGGTTTCACAGGGACGGCGGGGGTGGTGGCGCGTGGCCTAATGTGCGCAGGCCCACCTGACATAATAATGGGCATCGGTTTTCGACAAAGATGGTGGGGGCCGACATGTTTCCCGATGTGTGCTGTCACGTGCGCAGGCGCACCTGAAGCACTCTGCACGTGCCCCGAACGCGGCGCACCTGGCGCGGCTGGAGTGTGCGGCACACCTAGAGCACTCGACGCACGTGGCGCATCTGGCGCACTAGGCGTGCCTGGCACGCTCGGGCCCCAGGGGGTGCCTGGCGCGCGTGGCGCCCCTGGCACGCGTGGCGCACCTCGCCCCAGCGTCGCGTACCTGGGGTCGGCTTTGGATCCCACTAGCTGTCCATCCAAAAGCTAGCGCTGAACATGTTTAGGTGCGGGTGTTACTTCTCTGTGTGGAGGGCGGATGGGATTTAGCTAGACGGCTTGCGGGCGGGTGGGTAGCTTGACCCGTCCCCCTACCCCCCTACCCTGGACCTGGACGACGGGGCGTTTCGCAAGCAGTTGGAACGTCTGGTCACATGTTGGGCTCCGGGGCCGGAGAACCCTACCTAACCTAATACGGCCGCCCTTAAAATAATCACCTCAAAACTGGCCCCCAAATAACGCCCGAAACTCGCTAAAATGCCCCAGACGCCCCCAAGAGGTTCCCAGGAGGCCCCAAGAAGTCCCTAAGAGGCCCCCAAGAAGTCACCAAGATGCTCCCAAGAGACCCCCAAGAGGCCCCAAGAGGCCCCATAGAGGCACCCAAAACGCCCCAACAGGCCCCCAGGACTGCTCGGAGAACCCCCAAGATGCCCCAAGAGGCCTCTGTCCTTTCTGCTCGCCCTCTTCATATCCCTCCTTTTCCGCCTATTGCTCCTCCTTCTTGTTCCTTCCTCGTCCTCCTCCTCCTCCCCCTTCACCTCCTCCTCGTCCTCCTCCTGCTCCTCGTTTCCTTCTCCTTACAAAGAACTTATCCCTGTCGCACCCAAAGGCAACTGTTTCGGGCGGGGCGGGCGTTTCGCCTGATATTTCCCCACCATTTAGAACTCTGAAGCTTAAGCAACGGCAACAGCTTCGCAGATGGAGCGCGGGTGGTTTTCAACATGTGGCTCTCGCCTTAGCGCGGCGCACATTCGTTCTAGCAATTTGCAAGATCTTCACACATGGAGGGCGGGTGGTCTTCAAAATGTGGCTCTCGCCTTAGCGCGGCGCACCCTCGTTAGAACTATTTACGAGCGTTTCACTGATTGCGGGCGGGTCGTTTTCAAAATGCACCTCTCGCCTTAGCGCCGCGCGCGCTCGCTGTAAAAACTTGCAAGGGAGTCGTGGATTGAAGGCGAGTGGCTTTCAAAATGTGGTTCTCGCCGTAGCGCGGCATACATTCGTTTTCAAACATTGGCAACAGCTTCGCGGATTGAGGGCGGGTGTTGTTTCAAAACGCGGTGCTCGCCTTACCGCGGCGCACGCTCTTTTAAAACATGTGCAAGACTTTCGCGGATTGAGGGCGACTCCTTTTCAAAATGTGGTTCGCAGACAATTGCGAGAGATTCACGGATTCCCATCATAAACGTACCCGAAATTGTGTTTTGGACGGGTCCAGGATTACGCGGGTGCAACCGTTACTTTGGTTTTGTGAAGTCCTAGGAATGGCTTCTGGCACGATTCAGGATCGGCAAGACGCAACAGTCATGTTGACCCCTGGCGTTAGAATCCCGAGAACAACGTTTTGGCATGCTTCAAGGTCTTCAAATGGGTGTCTTCCAACGAGGCAGTTCCATCAATGGAACTGAACCGTTGTAGGGACCTATGAAGAGGGAGCTTGGAGGGAGGGTCTACTCCAACATCGTTGATGATTTTTGGGCTTGTACTGGTCCTCCTCCTCCTCCTCTTCATCCTCCTTCTTTTGTTCTCTTCCTCACCGTCATCATCACCATCATCATCAGCAGCATCATCATCACCAGCATCACCACTATCATCACCATCATCAGCACCACCCTTATCATCTGCATCATCATACTCATCAGCATCACCATCACCATCAGCATCATCATCAGTACCATCGCCATCATCACCATCATCAGCAGCATCATCATATTCACCAGCAGCATCAACATCATCATCATCAGCAGCAGCAGCATTGCTACCATCATCGGCATCATCATCAGCAGCAGCATCATCATCACAACCATCCTCTCCCTCTTCTGCATTATCCTCCTCCTCCTCCCCCCCCCCCGATTCCTCCTCCATCCTCCCCCTCTTGGCGTACGGCGTCCTACCCAGTCCTTCATTCCTCTGCGTGCTCCGGCAAATCCATCATCCGGGCAACTCGTCTGGATATCGTGTCCTGTTTGGCTGTCGGGGCTACTTTTGATGGCAAGCCAAGCGGAAGTGCCGAACGCCTTCAGAAAGTCGCAAAGCAGCATGCCACGATCTAAATTACGCCACGAGCGCGCAGGCGACCGACGCTGACACTCAGTAGGCAACGGGGCCAGGAAGAGCACCAGGTCCACGCTCAGCGCCAAAATGGCGACGAGGGGCAAGCCGGCGCACTCGAAGACCACCGTCGCGTAGTCGAAGAGAA